TCTGTTTTGGTTGGGTGCGGGTGGGGGGGGGGGTTGTTTGGGTTTTGTGGGGGGGGGGGGGGGGGGGGGGGGGGGGGGGGGGGGCGGTTGATGCGGTGGTTAGAAGGTAACTAGAAGGGACCTAGCGTTTGAAATCACATTCTGCCATGCCTTTTCCTAAACAAGTCACAATCTGATATTACCTTCACATTTCAGACTTATATACATGCTTAGAAATGCTACGGTTGACCCTTGAAAGGAACAGGTATGAACTGCATGAGTCCACTTTTATGTGAATTTTTTTTCTGGTCAGTATAACACAGTTCTGTAAATGTGCTTTCTTTTCTTTATGTTTTCTTAATAGTGTTTTATCCCCCTAGCTTAGTTCATTCTAAGGATACTGTTTGTGTGTGTTAATTTACCATGTTATCAGTAAGACTTCAGTCAACAGCAGGTTATTTAATAGTTGAATTTTGGGAGCGTCAGCAGTTACATGTGGATTTTCGACTGCCCTCCTCTGTCGTTGAAGAGTCAGCTGTGCATGGAACCATCCTTCCGTCCAGGTGAAATAACTATGGATGGTTATTTGTGGATTATTCTTCAAGTTGAATGTGGCTGATGTGATAAATGGCTTCAGCAAAGTCGTATTTTAATAACCTCAATTGGAGTCTGACCCTTCGTATCTTTTTCTTTTCCTCGAAGTCTTTTGTAGCTCAGTGATCTTGGGATTCATTCGGGAAATTCAGTGTTTGAGTTCAAATCCCTCAACTCTTACTTCTAAATAATCCTTGTTATGTGATGCTTTCTAGAAATAGCAGGAATTAAAGGGAAAAATTAACACGCATGGGTTTGAAATTGTTTATTTTTCGGTAAGCTTTAAGGGAAAAAACTCTTCAGTTTATTTGAATCTCTACAAATAGAATACAACTTGAGGTTGGCAGGAGTCGACCTGTCTGTCAGACTTAACCTTTTGCATTTTTTAGTTAATACTGGGGATCTTGAGGTTTCATACTTCTTGGGGGTGTGGGAAATATGTCAGTGTCTGGGTCACTGACTGTCAATCTTGACATCACATTAGTATCACCTGGGGAATGGATAAAGAAGATGTGGTCCATACATACAATGGAATATTATGCAGCCATCAGAAAAGATGAAATGCCCACCATTGCATCCACATGGATGGAACTGGAGGGGATTCTGCTGAGTGAAATAAGTCAGGCAGAGAAAGACAGTTATCATATGGTTTCGTTCATATGTGGAACATAAGAAATGGTGCTGAGGATCATAGGGAAAAGAACAGAAAACTGAATGGGAAGAAATCAGAGAGGAGGACAAACCATGAGAGACTCCAGAAAACAAACTGAGGGTTACAGAAGGGAGGGGTGGGGGGATGGGGTGACCGGGTGGTGGTTATTAGGGAGAGCACCTATTGGGATGAGCACGGGGTGTTACATGCAACTAATGAATCGCTGAACTCTACAACAGAAACTAATGATGTACTATATGCAGTTACCTGGGGAGCTTTGAAATAGCCCAGGGCCAGGCCACCTCCCAGACCACTGAAATCAGATACTCCAGTGGTGGAGCCCAGACCGGAGTGCTGGGTGATCTCCTCCCTTTACTCCAGTGAGAGTGAAGGTTGTAAACCAGTGTACCTTTTTTATACATAAAGTTTTATTGGAACATAGCCATGCCCATTCATTTACCGATTGTCAAGAGACCCTCTGGCTTGCAAAGCCTAAAATATTTCCTGTTTGGCCTTTTACCAAAAACATTTGCTGATCCCTGCTCTGGACTCATAGTGAACATTTTTCAACATTTTGAAAAGAGGCTTTATACAAATTCAGAGTAAAAGAAAAAAAAATCCAGCATTTTGCAGAGCCTGCAGGTCTCAAAACCTGTCCGTTTACTTGTACACAGAGAACACTGAAAAGCATTTTCCTTGAAGAACTGACTTGCAAATGTCAAACCAGAAGATGTGACCAGCTTAGCACCTGCTGTGGGTGGCGGGGAAGCCTCACTGTTTGTTGCGATGTTGTGTGTGTTAAAGCAGACAGTTGGCTTCTTGCTCAAAGTTCATTACGTAGTCTGCAGGGGACTTCAGGGAGGTCTGGAGTGGCAGCAATGGCTCTTTCATTTGAAGAGAGTTGGAGTTTGGTCTTAGATGGTGGCAGACGTCTGAGAAAATTCCTTTAGCTCTGAGGAATCTCATGTATAAAAGGAAAAATCATGAAAACTTACAGTGCTATTTATATGATTTCCATCCTCCCTCCATGCAAGTGGAAAGTTGGCAGTGATAAACAATGGATCAAAAGAGTTTTTTAGAAGGTCCTTTTTGGTTGTAGGGCCCTGAAGGTGTGAAGTATGAGAGAAAGGATTGTTTACTCTAGTCCCTTGTCACCAGCATGGGGTTTTTGAGCCAGAAGGATCAGCATCTCCTGTGCCAGACTGAGGCCCTACCACACACTTACTGAATCAGAATCTGCTTAGCCCCAGGCCATTTGCATACATATTAAGAGAGCCCTGGGATGCACTGGTCTAACCGATATTGGCTTCTGTGCAGTTAAGTGGTCCCTACCCTCCTCAGTGATTTCATGGCCCTTTAATGGCTCTCCTGACCTGGGGTTCTTCATTATGGGCAGGCAGGTTTTCCCCTTTGGCTACTTCCAAGTATAGCCTGCTCAGCCTCTTATTTAATAAGGATTTATGTGATGATAGGAGATGAAAATGGTGTGATTAAGCTGGAAGAGATACCAATTAGTATGCTTCAGAGAAACAGTAGGAAGGATAAAGGGAGCTTGCCAGATAAACTTCAATTGAGAGAAAATAATCAATTGGAATACAGTTGTCTTTGTTTTGCCAAGAAGAAGTAAGCAACCCATCAGAGTATTCATTTGTGCTGGGGATCACTTGCGAGGGTTGAAAAAGTACACACAGGCCTGTAGTCATTGGAAAATTGTCCATAATTTAATATTCGTAGATAATCTTGGGGAAGCCCAGTGCGTAAATTTGCCCTGCCAGCCTCTGTCATGTTAGTACGAGTTTCTTAATCAAGTTGCATTATTGGATTGAAAAACGTGATTTTGAACTGACTCTTTAATTCACGGACAGAGTTGATTTTTCCTAAACATTCCCTTAAATTGAATTTTTAAACAAAGTTAATACCACTTAAATTTAATTTTTTTTTAAAGATTTTATTTATTCACTTGACAGACAGAGATCACAAGTAGGCAGAGAGGCAGGCAGAGAGAGAGGAGGAAGCAGGCTCCCCACTGAGCAGAGAGCCCGCTGCGGGGCTCGATCCCAGGACCCCGAGATCACGACCCGAGCCGAAGGCAGACGCCCAACCCACTGAGCCACCCAGGCGCCCCTTAAATTTAATTTTTTAAATGTAGTATAAATAGGGGCACCTGGGTGGCTCAGTGGGTTAAAGCCTCTGCCTTCGGCTCAGGTCATGATCCCAGGGTCATGGGATCGAGCCCCAAATTGGACTCTCTGCTCAGCGGGGAGCCTGCTTCTCTTCCTCTCTCTGCCTGCCTCTCTGCCTACTTGTGATATCTGTCAAATAAATAAATAAAATCTTTTTTTTAAATGTAGTATAAATAATTGAAGTTTAGCTGTTCTTGCTGGGAAGACAGGATCACATGCTCAGTGTCTGTACCGGGGGTCATGCAGGAAATAGAACAGCTCTGCAACTTTGCAGAAGTGGTTAGGGGGCTTCTAAGTCTTCAGGTCACATCACCTTACCTTTAAGTGAGAGGTCAGGAAGCAATGGAGAGCTGCTGCATACATAAAAGCTGCCCCAGTGTCCCAAAGTCAGATTCTCATTTGCCAATCATGTGTCTACATGACTGTAAAGTCAGCCTTCAATGTCTCCATGCATGTCCTGTTTGCAGAATCCACATCACCTCAGGACCCTGGTGACAAGAGGGTCTGGGAAGTGGAGATCCGAGACTTGGGTTTTTGCTATAGTGAGAGCATGGAAGGGGGCTGGGAAGAGACGTTGAGGATAGTATCGGGCACGTCATTGCACGAAAGGCAACAGCTTACTGTTACACAAGCTTTGCGTGTTGTCTTTTTTTTAAATGTTCTTTTTTATATGAACACAGTGAGGTAACCAAAGTTAGATGCCTGTTTTACACGTGAGGGAAAGTGAGGAAGCAAATAACTTGCTTATGGCTCAGTAACTAGAAAGAGCTGTGGCGACGTGTTGGCTCCTGGGCCATGTTGTTCCTCTATTGCTGTGTCCCTTAGTGCTTGTTAACTGAGTATCACGTGACCAAATGGGGCTTCAGGAGTGCTCCAGTAAGGACCCCAAGATAGAAAAGTCACCTAAAGGATGCACAGTTAGAGTTTTTAGGGTCATTGTGCTGCAGGGGGGTGGTGCATTTTCATGGTCGAAGGTGACTTCCAGCAGCAATAGCCTATTCTCTTACAGAGTCAGGCAGTTCTTGTAATCATTGTAAAATGCAACTTTGGGCTCAGTGTATTCCTTTTTTTTTTTTTCTCAAGCAGATGAAAAACCCGGAGAACCGTCACGCAGTGAGTTCCCAGTACAGGATGCATTCTTACTACCCGCCTCCCTCCTACCTGGGCCAGAGCGTGTCCCAGATCTTCACTTTCGAGGATGGCCCCTCTTACTCAGAAGCCAAAGCCAGTGGTAGGTGTCTGGATGCACAGCTTGGATTGGGGTGGAGGGAGGATGAGTGGCCAATGCTGGGTCCCTAGACCTCTCCAAGGTCTTGCAAGTCAGGAGCTTGTGGGAGTTTGCCATGTGATTCCTCTGTGAGCATCCTTTACGGTATCTCATTAGGGAATGCTTTCGCTTTAATATCACGTCTTTTCTAACTACCTGGAGTGACAAGAATAAAATGAGAGACTCCCTTCAGAACCTAAAAAAAATGTATTTTCTGGAGGACCGCTATGAAATACAGGTTCAGAGGAAAATGTGGCTCAAACCCTGATATTTTTGGTGAGGTAAATTTCTCTCTATTGAATACTTGTACTGTATTGAAAACTTTTCCATTTCAAAATTGAAGGCATATTCATCTTTTGGGGGAGGAAATGAAATAACTTAATAAAACATTTTTTAATACAATAGATCTCAGAGTTTATGCAGTAGCAATGCAAATAACTCTGATGTAATAGTTTTTAAATAAAAAATGACTGTTTAATGAACCAAAGCGGTTTGCAATACACAATTCCTCAACTTCAGTTTTAACCTTCTCCCGAGCATTTACACCGTGGTGATGGGCAGGTCTTTTATGACTGCTGTGTTTGTAGGCCCCGTTTTTAAGTTCTTTATGTTTAAGCTTTATCTTTTGATCAAGGAAAGTGAGAAGATTACAGTCAAGGCTGTAAGTAGGAATCGGGGCAATAGTGTGTGACCTGCTAGTAAACCGACGGTTGGCCCTTGGCCTGCGCCAAATAAGAAGAGGTTTGTTCTCTGAGTAAGTTGACACTCTACAGAGAACTTGTTTCTTTATAAAGCAGGCGTTTAGACGAGAATCGAAACCATGCTTTGATTTCCAAATTCAGAATAAGAAAGTCTAAAAAAGCTGGGAAAGTTATGCTTTATTTGCCGTACTGAAATGAAATAGAGGGTTTCATTAATGCAGAGTGTAGAGGACAAGGGAACGGATCCTTTGGAACCAAAGAGGGGCTGAAATACCCATTATTGATTGCACTTTGACTTTCATTAATGACCATTTATTGTCAGGAATGGACAAGCACAGCTCCATATGATAAAAATTCATACCACAGAACATATGCCGATGTGGTCCTTCTTTCACACTCTCTTTGATTCTATGTATTTGTTTGGCTTTTAAGCTCTTTAGGGACAGAGAACACATCTTAGTTACCTTTTTACCTGTTATGATGCCTTTTATTTGTTATTTATTGGTTGAGCGAATGAATGAATGAATGATTTTTTAAGTGAGCTTGCTACTCTGTAGAGAAACACCAGCCTAGAGGGTCAGGACCCTAACCCATTGTCTGTGGAGTTAGTGCCGATTGTAGCGATGAAGTAGTTAAGGAAATGTTTGTTCATACAGAAAATTAGGAGTGAAACCTTCTTTCGGGAAGAAATTGCCTGAGCTTCTTACTCCAGGAATAATGGAGTATTTCCAGAAGCACTCACATTCTTGAGAGAAAGGTGTAAATTCAGAGCAGGGCAGTAAGATAAAAAGATAAGAGGAAATTTATTAGAGCAGAGAAGGACAGATATAAGAGGAGCAGGAGGCATTTGAATTTATGGCAGGAAAGGCTCAGAAGGAAAGAGGTTACAGTCCAGGACAGAAAGGACCGGCTGCACCAGTGCTCACCAGGAAAGACAGGGCAAATAGCAGTGAGGATTTCTTACATTTTCGCTGGTGATACGTATGTTTGAAAGCATGAGGAGGCCTCAGGCTTACTCTCCTGGTGCCCCTCTCCCTCACCACTAGCCTCACACCTGAGGGAGTTAGCTAGGAAGAGCTGTTAGTGTAACTCCATAATGTCTACTTTCGAATTGCCATGGAAAAGGACAATATGAATAAATAGAAAATCCAAATAGCAGCTAATTGTTTAAAGAAATGTGGCTTTATGACTTCCAAATGCATGGTGGGGCTTCTGTGTTACATGGAATGTTTACAGAGCAAGTGGGAAGGGAAGAGGAAGTTGTGTTTGGGGGTGAAAAGGACACCTCCGGGGTCATCTCTTGGAGCATTTGGAGCCTCAGTTTTATCATCAGCATTGACACAAGTAGACAGTTGGGGACAGCAGAGGCCCTTGTGTTGAGTGGGGCTGAGGCTGGTGACAGGGCTCAGTGGGTAGGGAGAGGGACAGCAGTATATTCACCTGTGACAAGGTGACAGAGGCTGGCCAATAACCAGTTGCATTTATCACTTCCATTAGGTTTGGGTTGAGATCCTTGGGTTGGTTGTGTTTTAATAAATAAGTTATGATTGGAAGATCTAAGTGGGGACTTGCAAGTAATTTGAAAAACAATGTTTTTCCATAGGCTTAATGTTTTCTTTATAAATTTGTCCATTACATCAGTGTTTCTTCACTTTCTTTTTTTTTTTTTTAAGATTTTATTTATTTATTTGATAGAGATCACAAGTAGGCAGAGAGACAGAGGGAAGCAGGTTCCCTGCCGAGCAAAGAGCCTGATACGGGGCTCGGTCCCAGAACTCTGGGAGTCATGACCTGAGCCGAAGGCAGCGGCTTTAACCCACTGAGCCACCCAGGTGCCCCTCTTCACTTTATTTTTTTTTTTTAGATTTTTTTATTTATTTATTTGACAGAGAGAAATCACAAGTAGGCAGAGAGGCAGACAGAGAGAGAGGAGGAAGCAGGCTCCCCGCTGAGCAGAAAGCCCGATGCGGGGCTCGAACCCAGGACCTGGGATCATGACCCGAGCCGAAGGCAGAGGCTTTAACCCACTGAGCCACCCAGGCGCCCCTCTTCACTTTATTTTAAAAGAAGTTTAACCTGTCCTTACCATGTAAAGAAAGGAGTCCTGGTTCAAAGTCTTCCTCTGCTTTTGCTGAAGATGGCAGCATGCAAATAGAATGTCATAGGGATTCCAGGGAAAGTTCCTTTTGCTGTGTCACTACTGCTTAATGTTCTCCTTGGTAAAGAGGCTAGGAGGCATTTCCTCCCCCTTCCATATACTGAAAAGTGTCAGGAGGTAGATCAGAGAGACAAGGAGGCCCAGTCATGTAGCACTCCGTAGAACATTGCAAGCACTTTGGCTTTTATTTCAAGTGACGTGAGAAGCCAAGCTTTCCAGCAAAGGGGCAGCCAGGGAGACATGTCTGTCCTGTGCATTTGGAAGCTCACTCTGGCTGCTGTGTAAGACCAGACTGTAGGAATGCAGGGTGGAGGCCAGGAGTCCAGTAGAAGGCACTGAGTAATCGTTGCGAAAGGTGACAGGAGCACCCTAGGGACAGTAGGAGTGTGGTGGTGCCGACAGGCAGTTTAATTCTAGATCTGCTTTGAAGGTAGAACCAAGACGATTTGCTGATGGATTTGGGATGTGCCAGTAAGAGAGAAGTGAGGGGATAACTATAGTTTTTGACCTCACCAAGTAGAAAATCAGAGTTTCTGTTTATTGAGGTAAAGAAGACCATGGTGGGATGGGCCTGGTTTGTGGGAATTAGGAGTAGTTTGCACATGAAGTTTGAGATGTTCGTGAGTCCTCAAGTGGATCATCAAATAGGAATGGATGTGTAAAGTCTGTTTCAAGTTGAGAGGAGACATTCTTGCTAGAAATAAAAGCTCAAGATGTTAGTTGAAGCCAGTCTGGTGAGAGCCCATGGAGAATTGAGTGTAAATGGTGGAGAATGAAGGACTGAAGATTGAGCCCCAGGGCCCTCTGGGGTCTGGACATGTGTCGCAGTTGAGGAGGACCAGCAAAGGGTAAAGTGACAAGGTGTGGCCGGCGGGGTAGGAGGAGAGCTAATGGGACATGTTGTCTTGCAAGCTGAGCAAAGAAAACATTTCAGTGAACATAGCCAAAGAAGCTGATAGGTCAGGTGAGAAGAGGGCTAGAATCAACCACCGACTATTGTATGGTAGGAATGATGGAGGAATCTGGATAGGTGGCCATTTGGGTGCGGATGGGGGAGCGAAAGCCTGACTACGTTTGGGAGTGCGCGGGAGAGAAGGTAGGGGCCAGGGCACAGACACTTCTTTAAGGAGTTTTGCTGTAAGGGGGAGTCATGAAATGGGGCAGCAGCTGGAGGGGAGCCGAGTTCAAGGAAGATCTTTTCCTCTTTTTCAAAGAAAGGAGATAGCGCGGTAGGTTTGTATGCTGACGGGAGTGGTCCAGTAGAGGGAAGGTTTGCCCCACAGGCTGTGTGGAGTAGGGGCCACCATTGTCAGGGACACTAGCGGGGTGCTGAGTAAGCAACACTAGTCAGGGTCCAGGCAGCGGGCCCTGGCATACGGGCGTGTGGGTGCTTCATTAATGGTCTAAGAGGAAGTGAGTAAAGGAACTAAACATAAAGGAAAACTTACTAACAGTTTGACACCATGATTTAAGGTCTATTGAATCTAATTCGAAAATTGGGGTTTGAATATTTTTTTCTTTCATTTTTCTAGGAATTCATTTTTTTATCATGGTAAAATCCACCTGTCATAAGATGAACCATTAACCATTTTAAGTGTATAGTTAAGCAGCACTTGGACCTTTGCAGTGTTAGGCAACCATGACCTTTATCTAGTTCAAAGGCATTTTCATCACCCCAAAAGGAAAGTGCGTACCTAAGCGGTCATTCCCTACTCTCTCCTTTCCCCCAGCCCCTGACAGCCACTGATTTGCTTTCTGTCTTAATGGACTTGCCTATTCTGGATGTTTTATGTGAATGGAGTCCTATAACATGTGGCCTTTTGTGACTGGCTGCTTTCACGGAGCATAACGTTTTTGAGCTTCCTCCAGGTAGTAGCAAGTATTAGTACTGAACTCCTTTTTATGGCCCACTAAGATTCCATTGTTGTGGATAAACCAAACATCTTGCTTTTCTGTTCTTCAGTCAATAAATATTTACGTTATTTGAACCTTTTATTGGCTATTGTGAATTGCTATGCTGTGAACTTTCATGTCCTCCATTTGGAGAGCTGTGCTCATTTCTTCTGTGAGCATACCAGCAGCAGAATTGCAGGGTTGTATGGTAA